TTTTAAATTAAAAAAAATCTAATAACCAGGACAAAGTCCCCTGGTCGCCTCCAGAATAGGTGCTTTTTCACAGGGAGATAACTTTCTGCTTTTCTCACAACTCTGCTGTCCACAGAGTGGTTTCCAGGTCTCTGTTATGGATTCTCCCTTCAAGTGAGTTGGGTTTCATGTTCTATTCGAGGGTGTGTGTGTGGGTGTGTGGGGGTGTGTGTGTGTGTAGGTACATGGTTTGCAGGGATCAGCTGGCAAACAGAAAAGATGTAGATTGACAATTGGCAGACAGTCAAGGTCAATAACTGAAACTGGATAATCTGACATCAAACAAACCTCACTTACCATGTTTTGCTTTTACATCTCACATTCCTACTACTGATGCTGCTTTCAGCATTCTGTTGGCTTCCTTAACGTCATTTTGCTCTAAATTAAAATGTATGGGGGGAAAATGAGCCATTTTGTTACAAGTTGAATTGCTGATATTTCCTTCCTTTGACAAGTCCTGACTTGTTTTCCAGCGCTCACATGTGTTCTAGTGTATTTTTCTGTGCATCGTCTCACTTTAAATGAGCCATAATCTTTTACAGCAGAGTATTGATTTTGCTTTCAAAAAAGACCCTCTATTCCATTATACTTCCTGATCAATTTATATCATTTTGCATGAGAATTTTTCTTTTTCTTACCACATAAAATGTTTTTATTTTATATTAGTCTATATGTCATTTGCAGAATACTGAATTATATGTCCAAAATTTATTTTGAAAAGTGTTAGTTTGCTTTACAAAAAGTCAGGTCACTTGACAATTTCAGTTTCTTTTTTTGATGTGTGTTTTTGCTTATTTATTGAGTACATATTTGTTATATCAGAACTCATAGGCAGTGCTGAATTTAAAATCATAATAATCATTATTAATTAAAGTGAAGTTTAAAGTAATGAATATTATTATAACAATGTATATTAAGTTGTCCCAAATGCTAGACAGTATGCAAAAGGACATGTGACTCTTTAGCTAATAATAATAAATATTCATTGACTATTTATGCCCTGAAGAATTTCAACGTTGTTTATATAAAGAACGCATGTCATCCTCAGAAACACTCTGTGATGTAGGCACTGCAGTTATTCCCATATTCAGATGAGAAGCTAAGGCTAAGAAGAAACTAAGTGACTTGATCACAGATAATAAGTGGCAGAGACAGGATTCTAAGCCTCTTAATTACTACAGTTTTTGGTAGGTATTGCTGTTTTTGTCATTGTATATTTTGCTTTACTATCTAGAAAGCAAATGAAAGATCAAAGTCCTCCGAAGAAAAGCACTTAAATTCCCATTTGCCTACAAAGTTTACCTAGAAATTTACTTAGGAAATTTAATCCCTCTTTCACACCATTTCCTTTACTAGTTATGACAGAAAAAGCCTCAAGAGCATTTAGTGTGTTGCATTTAGTGTCCAAACTCACAGCTGTTTTAAAATATTACAGCCACCAGTTTTTGGATACATTGCTGTACTAAAGGACTCAAATAGGAGTAAGGGGCTCAGTTTGTACCCATTTTTCCTAATTTTGCCTTCAAGTGTTAATTACTCTGTAATAACACTTTTACAAGTTTCTTCTGCCCTATATCTCAGGCACAATATTAGGTTCTACTATAATGATTATACTTCGTCACCTGTCCTAGCGAACCTTTTTATATTTTTTAATTGCCCTTGAAATAGTTTTTTCTGGAGTCTTTCAAACTCTATTAGACAATTACTTGATGATGGGAAATCTTTTGTCTGTTTCACCATTATCCTTCAGTCTTTCTCAGAGTGGGAACTCAATAAATGTTTGTTGAAATGAAATAAAAGAAACTGACCCCCAGTGATGGTAAATGGCTCACAAAATTACTATCATACATTCTTTAAAGTGCACTTAAGTCTAGAGTTTTGAGGGTCTAGGAAGATGAGAAATTTAGTTCTACATATATTTATTCAAAGTTCTTACCATGTCTTTCTTTTTTCTTAAATGTACTCCCAATATATTTTGTTGAATTTATATATAATAAAATGTGCCTATCACAAGTGCAGAGTTCACTAAGCTCATTAAAAACTAACAAGTACAAATAAAATATGATAGTATTTCATTAGTGCAGAGGAGGCATCTGAACAGATGTTGTGAAGAAAATTATTTTAATTAATACACTACTGTTACAGGCTGAATTGTGACCCCCCAAATTTATGTGTTGAAGTTCTTACTCCCAGTACCTCAGAATGTGACCATATTTGGAAATAGGGTCATTACAGAAATAATTAGTTAAGAACACAGAAATAAAACCATGTTCAGATTGGAGTTATACTGTCACAGTCAAGGAGAGAGATTTGAACACATTCTTCTCTAGTGCCTTCAGGTAGAATATGGCCATGGTGACACCTTGATCTCAGTATTTTAGACTCTAGGACTGAGACAAGAGGATAGAAATTATTTCAAGCATCTTCTCTGACCATAATGCCATGAAACTAGAAATCAACCACAGAAAAGCAAAGGAGGAATAAAACAACATGCTACTAAAAAAACAATGGGTCAATGATAAAATCAGAGAAGAAATTAAAAAATACTTTGAAATAAACAAGAAAAACACAACCACACAAAAGCTATGGGATGCAGCAGAAGCAGTCCTAAGAGGGAAGTTCATAGTGATACAGGCCTTCCTCAAAAAACAAGAATAATCTCAAGTAACCTAATCTGCCATCTAAAAGGATTAGAAAAAGAAAAGCAAACAAAACCTAAATTCCTCAGAAAGAAGGAGATAATAAAGATCAGGGAGGAAATAAAATAGAGATTAAAAAACAGAAAAAAAAACAATTAAACCAAGAAGCTGTTTTGAAAGAGTAAACAAAATTGACACACCTCTGGCTAGGCTCACCAAGAAACAAAGAGAAAGAACAAAATAAGAAAGGAAAAAGGAGAAATCACAACCAATACCACAGAAATACAAAAAACCATACAAGAATACTATGAACAACCACATGGAAACAAATTGGACAACCTAGAAGAAGTGGACAAGTTTCTGGAAATATTCAGTCCATGAAGACTGAAACAAGAATATACCACTTGAACCAACCAATCAGTACAAATGAAATAGAGTCAGCAATAAAAACAAACAAACAAAAACCTCTCTACAAACAAAAGCTCAAGACCAAATGGCTTCATCGGAGAATTATACCAAACATACAAAGGAGAACTCATACCAGTCCTTTTCAAACTCTCCCAAAAGACTGAAAAGAAGGCGTACTCCCAAACTCATCCTATGAAGCCACCATCACCTTGATATTGAAACCAGACAAATATACAAGCAAAAAGGAAAATTACAGGTCAGTATCATTGATGAACATAGATGCAAAAGTCCTCAGCAAAATATTAGCAGACAGAATCCAACAGCACATGAAAAAGATCATACACCATTATCAAGTTGGTTCATTCCAGGGATACAAGGATGGTTCAACATAAGCAAATCAATCAATGTGATACACCACATCAACAAAAGAAAGGACAAAAACCACATGATCATCTCAATAGATGCTGAAAATGCATTTGATAAAATTCAGCACCCATTTATTATAAAGACTCTTAACAAGGTGGGTATAGAGGGAACATATCTCAACATAGTAAAAGCTATTGATGACAAACCCACGGACAGCATAATACTCAGTGGTGAAAAACTGAAAGCCTTCTCACTAAAATCTGGAACAAGACAAGGATGCCCACTCTTACACACTTTTATTCAGCATAGTCTTGGTAGTTCTAGCCACAGCAATCAGGCAAGAAAAAGAAATAAAATGGGATCCAAATTGGAGAGAAGATGTAAAATTGTCACTTTATGCAGATGACATGATACTATATATACAAAACCCTAAAAGCTCTACACAAAAACTACTAGAGATGGTGAAAGTATTTGGCAAGATAGCAGGATACAAGATTAACATACAGAAATCTCTACACTAACGATGAATTAGCAGGAAAAGAAAGTTTAGAAATGATCCCTTTTAAAATTGAATCAAAAACAAACAGGAATAAATCTGAACAAGGAGGTGAAAGACTTATACATAGAGACTTATACAAATTAAGACTTATACAAAATATTAATTAAGGAAATTAAAGATGACTTAACAAAATGGAAAGATACCCCATGCTCTTGGATTGGAAGAATCAATATTGTTAAAATGGCCACACTGCCCAAGGCAATCTACCAATTTAATATGATCCATATCAAATTACCCAGGACATTTTTCACAGAACTAGAACAAATAATATTAAAATTTGTGTGGAATCACAAAAGACCTAGACCTGCCAAAGCAATACTGAAGAAAAAGAACAAAGCTGAAGGAATAACCCTCCCAAACTTCAGACAATAATACAGAGCTACAGTAATCAAAACAGTGTGGTATTGGTATAAAGACAAATATATGAATCAATAGCACACAATAAAGAGCCCAGAAATAAACCCACAGACCTACAGTCTTTGACAAAGGAAGCAAGAACATACAATGGAGAAAAGACAGTCTCTTCAGCAAGTGGTGCTGGGAAAACTGGACAGTTGCGTGTAAATCAATGAAGTCAGAGCTCTCCCTCACACCATACACAAAAATAAGCTCACATTGGCTTAAAGACTTAAATATAAGACAAGACACGATAAGAAAACATAGGAGAAACATTCTGTGACATAAATCTTAGCAATGTTTTCCTATGGTAGTCTACCCAGGCAATAGAAATAAAATAAAAAATTAACAAATGGGACCTAATTAAACTTATAAGCTTTTTCACAGCAAAGCAACACAACCTACAGAATGGGAGAAAATATTTGTAAAAAATGAGACTGACAAAGGCTTAATTTCCAGAATATATAAATAGCTCATCCAACTTAATTAAAAAAAAAAAAAACAACCAATCCAAAAATGAGCAGAAGACCTAAACGAGCAATTCTCCAATGAGGACATACAAATGGCCAACAGGCACATGAGAAAATGATCAATGTCACTAATTATCAGAGAAATGCATATCAAGACTACAATGATATATCATCTCACACTAGTCAAAATGGCCATGATTCAAAAGTTCATAAAAGATAAATGCTGGAGAGGGTGTGGAGAAAAAAAAAAAACCACCTCCTACATTGTTGGTGGGAATGCAGCTTGGTGCAGCCATTATGGAAAACAGTATAGAGACTCCTCAAAAGACTGAAAATAGACTTACCATATGATCCAGCAATCCCAGTCTTGGGCATATATCCAGAGGGAACTTTAATTTGAAAAGATACATGCACCCCAATATTCATAGCAGCACTATTTACAATAGCCAAGACATGGAAGCAACCTAAATGTCCATCCACAGATGACTGGATAAAGAAGCTGTGGCATATTTATACAGTGGAATACTACTCAGCCATAAAAAAGAAAAAATAATGCCATTTGCAGAACATGGATGGACCTAGAGATTGTCATTCTAAGTGAAGTAACCCAGAAAGAGAAAGAAAAATAACATATGATATCACTCATATGTGGAATCTAAAAAAGGAATGAAGAAGACACTAATGAACTTATCTGAAAACACACTCACAGACATAGTAAACAATGTTATGGTTGGGAGAGGGGATAAATTTGGGAGTTTGAGATTTGCAAATATTAAAGATAAAAACAAATTTCTTCTGTACAGCACAGGGAACTATATTCAACATCTTGTAATTATTTTTAATGAAAAAGAATATGTAAACAAACAAACAAAAAAACAGACACAAGAACATTTAAACTCCTAAATGGACTCTTGAGTTACACAGAGTATTTTCCAGTGACTCACAAAGGCAAGTAAAATTGACTGACATCAGTTATTCCCATATCAATCTCGTCAAGAAAAGAATCTTTAAAATTAACTCTTTAGAGATGAAGAGAAAAATACTTTCAGGGAGATTAGACAACCAGTGACATAAACCACAATGATGCTATAGTAACTGAACTGCCTGGCTCAAAAACATGTATAGTTTGCAGAAATGAACTTCTGAATTACCAAAAAAAAAGTACAGTCACAGTAGATTCATTTCTTATAAAGAATTCTGAAACAGAAATCTCGGCCTCTAATAGACATAATGTGTAAGTAATCTACATGTCCCAGTTTTAAACTGTACAAATAAAGCACGCTATACACAGCATTAGTTTCTGAGTCTAAGGTGTTTTCAGCCCGAGTGTCTCCATATACACAGAAATCTAAAGAAAGAGAAAGTGGCTGCTGACTTTCAGCCTGGGCGCAGGTAGCAAAGGGAGAGCCCGCTCCTGGAGCCCGGCACCTACTTCCACTCGGCCACAAGGGCTGCCGGGGCTCGCGAAGGCTCAGGTCAGACAGCAGAGCACACTAAAACACTGGCATTTAAACAAATATGAGGGTACTCTTTACTACTTTTCAGTAGTTTATGATAACAAGAGACAAAACCTATCCTAATTAAACTTAAATATGACCATGGCCCCACCTAGATAGTCTCCCTTTGTTTATTATGCTCTCTGTCAACATATATTCTCTAATCTTCTCTTATCTTACAGCAGAGGAAAATAACTAGCACAGGAGTGCTTCACATCTTCAACTTACTAAAATAGATGTACTACCCAAAGCAATCCCTATCAAATTACCCATGATATTTTCCACAGAACTAGGACAAATAATCCTAAAATTTATATGGAACCATAAAAGGTCCAGAACTGCCAAAGCAATCCTGAGGAAAAATAAAGCTGGAGGCATAACCCTCCCAGACTTTAGACAATACTACAGAGCTATAGTAATCAAAACAGTGTGGTATTGGCACAAAAACAGACATTTGGATCAATGGAATAGAATAGAGAGCCCAGAAATAAACCCAGACACTTACAGTCAATTAATCTTTGACAAAGGAGGCAAGAATATACAATGGAGTAAAGACAGCCTCTTCAGCAAGTTGTGATGGGAAAGCTGGACAACTACATGTAAATCAATGCAGTTAGAACACTCTTTCATACCATACACAAAAATAAACTCAAAATGTTGTAATGACTTGAATATAAGACATGACACCATAAAATTCCTAAAAGAGAACACAGGCAAAACATTCTCTGACAAAAATCATAGCAATGTTTTCCTAGGTCAGTCTCCCAAGGCAAAAGAACTAAAAGCAAAAATAAACAAATGGAACCTAGTCAAATTTATAAGTTTTTGCACAGCAAAGGGAACCATAAACAAAATGAACAGGAAACTATATTCAATATCTTGCAGTAACCTATGGTGAAAAAGAATATGAAAATGAAAATGAGTATGTTCATATATGACTGAAGTATTATGCTGTACACCAGAAATTGACACAACATTGTAAACTGAATATACTTCAATAAAATATATATATATATATATTCCACTGTATGTATATATATATATATATATATAACACACACACAAAATGAAAAGACAACCTATGGACTGGGAGAAAATAATTGCAAATGATGAGACAAGACCTTAATTTCCAAAATATACAAACAGCTCATACCACTCAATAACAAAAAAACAAACAATTCTATCATAAAATGGGCAGAAGACCTAAAAAGACATTTCTCCAGAGAAGACATACAGATGACCAAGAGGCATGTGAAAAGATGCTCAATACTGTTAATTATTAGAGAAATGAATATCAAAACTACAATGAGGTATCACTTCACACATGTCAGAATGGCCATCATCAAAAAGTCTACAAATAATAAATGCTGAAGAGGGTGTGGAGAAAAGCGAACTCTCCGACACTGTTGCAGCCACTATGGAAAACAGTATGGCGGTTCCTTAGAAAACTAAAAATAGACTTACCACATGATCCAGCAATCCCACTCCTGGGTGTATATCTGGAGAAAACTCCAATTCAAAAAGATACGTGCACCCCAATGTTCATAGCAGCATTATTTACAATAGCCAAGACATGGAAGCAATCTAAATGTCCACCGACAGATAAGTGGATAAAGAAGATATAGATAGATAGATAAATAGATAGACACATACACATACACACAATGGAATACTACTGAGCCATAAAAAAGAATGAGATTATGCCATTTGCTGCAACATGGATGGATCTAGAGATTATCATACTAAGTGAAATACGTCAGACAGAGAAAGGCAAATATCATGATATTACTTATATGTGGAATCTAAAATAAGATATAAATGAACTTATTTACAAAACAGAAACAGACTCACAGACATAGAAAACAAATTTATGGTTGCCAAAGGGGGAAGGGGTTGGAGGAGAGATAAATTAGGAATTTGGGATTAGTCAGATACAAACCACTATATATAAATAAATAACAAGGTCCTACCAAATAGTACTGGAAACTATATTCAATATCCTGTAATAAACCATTAAC